CTTGTGGACTCCTAGTTCCTGGCTTCAGCCTGGCCCATCCCTGAGCACTGTGGCTATCTGGGGAGTGAACAAGTGGGTGGAATATCATATTCTCTCTCTCTCTCTCTCTCTCTCTCTCTCTCTCTCTCTCTCCCTCTTTCTCTCTCTCTCTCTCTCTCTCTCTCATGCTGACTTTCAAATAAATAAATAAATCTTTTTTAAAAAAGGATTTCCAACAAAAAATTCCTTATCTAGCAAAACTATCCTTCAAAAATGAAGGAAAATTTAAGGCATTGACAGATAAACCAAAATGAATTTTGGATTTATTTCTGATTGTTTCTTTTTGTTAAGAGATCTGCCCAGGAAGAAATACTACAGGCATTACTCCAGGCTGTAGAGAAAGCATAATAGTCAGTGATTCAAATTCATATAGAAAGCATATGAGTAAATCACATAGTCAACTAAATTTTTCCTTGTAATCACAGGACTAACACTAAGGAGATACTTTTAAAATATGAGACCATAAAATAAGCTGCAATATATTTAGGATGGAAATCAAATGATGTGCATTTCCATACACAATGAAGTATAATCAGCAATCAGTAACAGAAGGAAATGGGAGAAATATACAATAAGCAAGAATTAAACAGCATACTACTAAATAACCTATAGGTCAAAAACCAAATAACAAGGAAATTAGAAAATACATTGAAATACCTTAAAACAAAAACATAAGCTACAAAAAGTTGCAGGATGCCTATAATTTATAATAGTAATATTTCTATCAAGAAAGGAGAAAAAGGTTGTTGGTCACAGCCATATTGGTCTGCCCAATATCTGACTTCCTGCCACGGCTGGTCACCAAACCTACTCAGGCTGTGAAGCTCCCTCTCCCACCCACCTCAGCTTTGGTGTGTGCCTTGTTTTTCTTTTCAGCATAGTCCGCTCCCCGCTCCCCAAACTTGTGTGGTCACAATTTGTCAGGCGCACCAACCCAGGATATTTCATTCCCTTCTTCAGTGGGCCTCAGCTTTGATGAGTGCCCCTGACTCCAGCCTAGGTGCAGTCCAGACCCATTCCAGCTTTGGTGGGCATCATTGGCAAGCACACTCTGAGGCAGTATGACTTCCTTCTGCAGCTCCAGCTTTGATGAGCACCTGGACTCCAGCAACATTTTAGTCTGAGCTTTCCTTTATTTGGTGAGAGCGATTGTTCACACACATGTACTCAGGCTTCCCTCAGGCTTGGTAAGCAGCCCAGACTGAAGCCCCAAGCTCACTGCTCTGGTGGATTGGCTGAATGTGCACATCTGCTGGGATGTGTAGCTCTCTTCTCCAATGGTCCTGGCTTTGGTTCGTGTCCTGGACTCCAGCCTCATGGCAGATTGGGCCACTCCTGTTCTTGGTGGGCACATGTGACAGACTAACATGCCCCAGACTTGGGCCTGGCACTGTCACAATCCCAGCTACCACCACTGAGGCCCACTTGTCCCTGCTGGAACTGATGGAGCTCTACATGCCACTACCATCATTAAAGGTAGAAGAAGATGTAGGGAGACTCGATTTCAGTATCCAACTGTAATAAAACCCAATGTAGCCTGCCTAGCTGATGTCCAAACACACATGTGAAAACATCTTCTGTCCATTAAAGCTACCATTTTACACAATAGAAACTAATGATCTTCCAGATTCATAAAAGTTAATACAGAAATACAAGTATTAAACAGAAAGGCAATATGACACTACAAAAGGAACTCAATAAAAACACTTTAACATTAGACTCCATGGAAGGACACTTTGACAAAATGCCTGAAAAATAATTCAAAAGAATGATTATAGATACTCAGAGAGGGGGCTGGCTCCATGGCGCAGTAGGTTAATCCTCTGCCTGCAGCACCGGCATCTCATATGGGCACTGATTCTAGTCCTGGCTTCTCCTCTTCCCATCCAGCTCTCTGCTATGGCCTGAGAAAGCTGTAGAAGATGGCCCAAGTCCTTGGGCCCCTGAACCCACTTGGGAGACCAGGAAGAAACACCTGGCTCCTGGCTTCGGATCGGCGCAGCTCCGGCCGTTGCGGCCATCTGGGGAATGAACCAACGGAAAGAAGACCTTTCTCTCTGTCTCTCTCTCTCACTGTCTGTAACTCTACCTCTAAAATAAATAAATAAAATCTTTAAAATAGACATTCAGAGAGATACAAGAGAATACAGATAGCTACATGAAATTAGGAAATTGATACATGATATGCGTGGGAAATGCAGCAAAGAGATAGACATTGAGAAAGAAACAAGAAGAAATCTTAGAAATGAAGAATTCAGTAAGTCAATTAGAAATTACAGTTGAGGGGCCGACGCTGTGGTGCGGCTGGTTAAAGCCCCATGCCTGTAGAGCCGGCATCCCATAAAGGTGCTGATTTGAGTCTCGGCTATTATATTTCTGATCTAGCTCTGTGCTATGGCCTGGAAAAGCCATAGCAGTAGAGAATGGCCTAAGTGCTTGGGCCCCTGCACCCACATGGGAGACCTGGAAGAAGTTCTTGGCTCCTGGCTTTGACTCAGCTCAGGTCTGGTGAGTGATTTGGGGAGTGAATCAGCTGGTGGAAGACTTCTCTCTCTTTCTCTGGTTCTATCTCTCTCTGTAAACTGTCTTTCAAATAAACAAAATAAATCAAAAAAAGAAGTACAGTTGAAAGCCTAAAAACAGATTATATCTACCAGAAGAAAGAATATCTGAACTTAAAGACAGTCCTTATGGAATATTCTAGTCACAAAAAAGAAAAGTAAAAAAAGGTAATAAGAATGAAAACAGGCCGGCACCGCGGCTCACTAGGCTAATCCTCCACCTAGCGGTGCCGGCACACCAGATTCTAGTCCCGGTCGGGGCGCCAGATTCTGTCCCGGTTGCCCCTCTTCCAGGCCAGCTCTCTGCTGTGGCCAGGGAAGGCAGTGGAGGATGGCCCAAGTGCTTGGGCCCTGCACTCCATGAGAGACCAGGAGAAGCACCTGGCTCCTGCCATCGGATCAGCGCGGTGCGCCGGCCGCGGCGGCCATTGGAGGGTGAACCAACGGCAAAGGAAGACCTTTCTCTCTGTCTCTCTCTCTATCTACTTTGCCTGTCAAAAAAAAAAAAAAAAAAAGAATGAAAACAATCTCTCCCCATTAAACTAACAAATATTTGAATTGTTGGGATTTCTGAGGACAAAGAGAGGAATAGAGGCCTAGAAAATTTGTTTAATGATATAATAGTTGTAAACTTACCTAGTCTGGGGAAAGATATGGACCAAATCCTTGGTCCTGGCTCCTGGCTTCAGATTAGCCCAGCTCAGGCCATTGTGGCCATTTGGGGAATGAACCAGTGGGTAGAAAACTTTCTCTCTCTCTCTCTGTATCTCTCTTTCTCTGTCTCTGTATAACTCTGTATTTCAAATAAATAAATAAATCTTTTAAAAACATATATTTATTTATTTGAAAGGCAATTAGAGAGAGAGAGAGAGAGAGAGAGAGAGAGAAAGATCTTCTGTCTGCTGATTCAGTTCTCAAATGACCACAATGGCTAGAGCTGGGCCAATTGAAAGCCAGAGGCCAGGAGCTTCTTCTGGGTCTCCCACACGAGCGTATGGGACTAAGAACTTGGACCGTCTTCCCCTGATTTCCCCGGCCATAGCAGAGAGCTTGATCAGAAGTGGAGCAGCCGGGACTCGAACTTGCACCCATATGAGATGCCAGCACAGCAGCGGTGGCTGTACCCACTATGCCACTACACAGCTCCCTCTTAAAAACTAGAAAAAGAGCAGTAACCTAACTCCACACTATCAGAAAGAAAGTAATATAATGATTGCTGTGAAAATAAATGCAATAGAGTTTAGAAAAAGGCAAAAGAATGAAAATGAAATTAGTTTATGTTACTTAAAATGGTAAAATTAACAAACCTTTACTATACATCTCCTTTTCCCTGGCCTCTTGCCAAGAGGGGGCTGGCTGTAGCCCCAGGCCTCCAGGACACATGGCCTTTGGGCCACACACCCTAGGCTCCCTGGCCTAGATCACATCCACGTGGCTGGTTCCTGGTGCTCGGTATGAGCCCCTATTCACCTCTCTCTCTAAATTAAGCTCTCACTCTCCTATGCATCTTTCTCACTAAATAAAGCTTAAAATGTAAAAAAAATATATACTGACCCAAAAAATACTATACTGGCCAAGAAAAATGCATAAGACTTAAATAATAAAAACTGCTAGTAAGAGAACTTTGCAGTAAATATTATGAAAATACAAAGAATTGTATCAGAAGGCTCTAAATAATTATGTGCAAAAAATTCCCAGAGATCAAACTACCAACAAATATTAAAGAGGTAGAAACAATTTAATAGATCTATAATAAATAAGAGATTGAATTGGTAATCAAACCTTTCTATAAAGCAAACTTCATAATAAGCTGGCTTTACTGGTTAAATCTTCCTGATGATTAAAGACAAATTAACATCAATCCTTCCAAAATCTTCTTGCCCCATAAAGGGAATTGACATACTCTCCAGTTCACTTCATGAGGCCAGTATTACTCTTATTCCCAAACCAGACATACATCACAAGGATATAAAACTACAGACCAGTATATTACATTAGAAGATAGATACAAAAAGCTTAACAAAACAATATTATTTCTTGCCATTTTCGAATTTATTTTTGTCATTTTCTCAGTCTACTATTATTGAGTTAAATATTTATTATTATTCACCTTGAAAAAACTTTAACAAAACAGTAGCAAACTGAATCCATTAACATTTAAAAGGGTTCTATATTACAACCAAATGGAATTTATTTCAAGAACACAATATTGACTTAGTATCTAAAAATGTATCAATACAAAATACTATGTTAATGAAAACATTCTAGCATTACTAGATATGGAGAAAACTTTTGATAAATAAAACAACTTTATTTAGTAAACTTAGAAACAACAACAACTACTGTTTCTTCTTTTTAAATATTTATTTTATTTATTTGGAAGGCAAAGTTACAGAGAGAAAAAACTTTCCATTAGCTGGTTTACTCCCCAGATGACTGCAGGGCTGGGCCAGGCCAAAGACAGGAGCCAGGAGCCAGGAGATTCATCTAGGTTTCCCGCATGGATGCAGGGGCCCAAACACTTGGATCATCCTCTGCTGCTTTCCAAGGCACATTTTTTAGCAAGGAGCTGGATCAGAAGTGGAGCAGCAGGGTCTTGATCCAGTCTCATATGGATGCTGGCATTGCTGACAATGGCTTAACCTACCACAACACAATGCCAGCCCCAACAATAATTTCTCCAATCAGATAAAAGGAAACTGTGAAGAAAACCATGGCTGACATCACTTAGTGGTGGAAGACTGAATACTCTCATTAATTACATTTATAATGTCAAGGTACAAGTAGGCAAACAGTAATAACAATAATAACAATAACAACAATAACAAAAAAGCATCTAGACTGAAAAGAAAATTAAAACTGTCTCCATAGGTGACATAATCTTGTACATGGAAAACACAAGAAATGAAAAACTTTTGGAACTAACAGATAAGCTCTGTAAGTCAATATATAAAAGTTCATTGTATTTCTAATTTTTATTTGTGTATTTGTATATTTTATTTGTGTATTTGTGTAGAGAGACAGAGAGAGAGAGCTCCCATCTGCTGATTCACTTCACAAATGCCTACATTGACTGCAGATTCTTAGGCTAAAGCTGCAAGTAAGAATTCCATCCAGGTCTCCTACATGGACGGTAGGTATCCAACCATTTGACCCATCACTTACCCTCAGCAGGAAACTGGAATAGGGAGTGGAGCTAAGGTACAAACTTGGACACTCTGAAACGAGATGTGAGAGCCCCGAGCAGCATTTTCACTGTTATGCCACTCACTCATTCCTCAACTGAAAAAAAGAAATATGAGATTAAGAAAACAATTCCTTTCAGAGTTACATGCAAAAGAATGACATATTTGGCAGCAATTTAACAAAATAAGTGTACCAACTGTACTCTGGAAACTGTAAGATGAAGCTGAAAAAATTTGAGAGAAGATAATAAATGAAAAGTTCATGGATCAGAACTTAATATTATTAAGAGAGCTATACTCCCCAAATTGTTCTATATATTTGACCCAATCCCTCCCAAAATCCAAGCTGCATATATTGCATAAATTGACAATCAGATTCTAAAATTCATGTAGAAACTTAAAGGATCCAGGATGGATAAGACAAGCTTGGAAAAAAAAAAAAAAACACAAAGCTTAAGATGTAATTTAAGGATGCCAAGACAATTCATTTGGGAAAAAATAGCCTTTTAAATAAGATAGGGTGGATAACAGCCATTTTTAACAAATGAGTCTAAGCTAACTCAACATGCAGATGCAGAGGTGTAAAGGTAGACTCATAACTCCCATCATATACTAAAATTAACTCAAAGCATGATGGACGTTTGACATAGCAGTTAAGATACCTCATGGGATGCCCACATCCCAAATTAAAGTTCCTGGATGGGGTAGCAGCTCCATACCCAATTACAACTTCCTGCTAATGCATGCTCTGAGAGGGATCAGGTGATAGCTTCAGTATTTGTGTCCCTACCACCACATGGGCAACCTAGATTGAATTCCCATATTTGGCTTTATCCCGGCCTAGCCCCAGCTTTTGCAGAAATTTTGGAGAGTGAACCAGGAGATGAGAGATCTCTGTGTGTCACATTCACTCTCTCTCTTTTAAGTCAGTAACAATTCTTAAAAATAAAAAAACTCAAAGTTTATCAAAAATCTAAATGTAAGATATTAAAATTACAAAACTCTTAGAAGAAAAGACTAGTTGGATCAGACAGTTAATTCTGAGTGAATTCTTGTGAGTCCAAAACACAAGTACTAAATAAATAATAATTGAATTTCATTTAAATTAAAAACTTTTTTTGCTTCAAAGAATAGTTTTAAGAAAGTGTAAAGGTAGCTCACAGAATAGTAGGGGATATTTGCAAATCATATACCTTATAATGATCTGGCATCCAGGATATATATTTAAAAAAATCACCAGCAGCTCAATACTAAAAAGACTCAAAATGCCATTTATTATATATTGTTTATATGAAATGTCCAGAAAGGGAAAATTCATGAAGAGAGAAAATTCATGAAGAGAGAAAAGCGATAAATGGTTTCCAGGCACTGGTGGGAAGAGGAATGAGGATTTGACTGTGGGAATGAGGTTTCTTGCAACTCAAAAACTCAACAATAAAAATAACAACCAATCCAGCTGAGATGAAAATGGTCCAAAATCAGTTCTGATTGTTGTATGATTGTACATATATTAAAAAGCACTAATTGTATACTTTAAAATGATGAATTCTATAGTATATGAATTATTTAACAAATACATTATAAAGAGAATACTGCAATGAACATCCTTCTCCATGTTTTAGTACATCAATTGTTTAAATGTTTCTATAATCTTTGGACCTACAATTAGAAATTAAAGGTTGTAGGATTAAAATGTTGCTAGAATATGATAAATTGTTCCACAAGTTACTTATATCATTTATGCTTTAACCAATTGTATGAGAAATCTCAAAAGTTCTATTTATCCTTTATTTATTTGACATCAAATTTTATTGATTTATTTTTAATTATTATTTTGTTTTTACTTACTATAAATTTATGTTTAACTGACTTACATTACTTTGAACTGAAGTGAAATTAAATATATTTTCATAATTTTTAGCCATTCAGTTTCCTCTTCTATAAAATTTCTATTCATATCCTGTGTTTACTTCTACTGAGCTGTTAGTTTGCAAAAATATCTGACATTGCTAGTTACACAGGAACTAGAAACTTTCCATTCTCTGTAGTGAGAGATGAGCATTAACAGTCACTCGAACATGTTAGAGTATTCTAGCCAGACACCACAACCATTCTGGAATGGAATCTTGGAAACATATGGTTACCATGACAAATGAAAACATTTCAGAGGATTCTCATCATTTAACTGAACAGAGGACTTTACCTTTGCTTAAAAGGAAATATAAGTTTCTCTTCTATACTTTGCCTTACCAATGGTTACAGAGAAATTATAAAAAGTAAGTAATTATGCCCCTGTTAATCTTGCAAAATCTTGTCTTCTTTCTAACCCTGACCTTTTTTCTTAAGTGTCTTCGTTTTTGTTATTGATGTTATTGTTGTTGTGATAAGAGAAAAACCATGGATATATTAGAAAATATTTCACCATAGGCCGTCATCTAAAATTCCCACCAAATTTAACAATTGGAAGAATTCAACTTTGTTAGTTGAACCCTCCAACTTCATGTTGCATTAACCAGCATTCTCCAGAGAAATAGAACCCATACATAGAAACAGACATTGTAAGGAATTATTGACATGATTACAGAGATTGAGAAGTCCTACAACTTTCTAGCTGTAAGCCAGAGATGCAGGAAGTCCAATGGTATAGTTTGAAGGCCTTAGAGCCAGAGAGCCAGTGATGTGGATTCCAGCCTGATTCTGAAGGCTTGAAAACAAGGAGTGCTGAGGCAAAAAGATCAATGTCCCAACTCCGTCATCAGCTGTCATTGCTTAATGTGTAAGCGATGCAGAGAGGAAGTGAACATTCCTAAGCTTTCTTGTTTTATTTAAGCCCTCAGCTAAATATGGAATGGAGGATGCCCTTTCAATTGGGGAAGGCCAACTGCTTTACTGAGTCCACAAATTTAAATGTCGATATCTCCTGGATCACCTTGACAAACACAATTGAAAATAGTGTTTATCAATACTGGGCATCCTATGGTTCAGTCAGGTTGATATATGAGTCTACTTTCTGTCAATTTGGTTAACATTTCCTTAAACTTAATCTCTGAATAGAGACAAAATAAAATAAAAATTCCACCTAACATGATACAACTATTCTGCATACAATCCCAACATAAACAAAAACTTTGCCTTAAAAGGAGAAAAAGTCCTTAAGTGATGTTTATGTTTTTATGATATGCCAAAACTTAAGTAGTATGATGTAAAATTAAGAATATTTAAATGCCATGATTTGAAGTCAACACATGTTGAAGGAATAAGAGAGGAATGAAAATAAAAATACTTGCTATAAACACACATAGTTATTCATAATAAATTAAGAAAATATTGGGCAAAACACTCATAATGATTGCAGTTCTCATTTTTTTACTTGTCACACTATCATAAGTTGTGTTTTTAATTGCCTTCCTTGACTTCCTATTCTGCATTCCTTTGCCTTCAGCAAGTACCTCATGGTTTTTTACTTACTGAGGGGACCCGAATTCTTCTGAAACACGTGGACCATTAGCAATTCTACCTGAATTGAGTTGCTGTATGTTTCCATTTATTTTGATCACAAGCATGGTAAAACTGGAAAATGCCCTAAGGGATCTCCTACATTCCAGATACACTCTTCCTAATTTCTACTACCAAATAGTGGTCCAATTTATTCTTAGCAGGCAGGGTGAGACAGTTCAGCCAGCATAGCGAACTCTCTTCTTTTCCTTCTGATTCACAGGAAAGAGACCAAAGTGGCCAGTTGGCATCTTTAATTTCCAATTCAGTGGAACTGTTGTCTCCTGGTAGAAGAGGGATGCTTCTTTCTTCTGTATCTGATTTTAAGCCAGAAGATTATAAGGTCACAGGAACTGGAAGCAAGTGCACCACCACAAATAACAGTGAGTGGTGCCACTCTTATTTCCACTCATTGATTTTTAGACCTATGAATAGTGGTTATGGGAGAAACTGCACCATTAATTGAACACCAATTCAGAATATAATCAGCCTCATGAGGGAGCTTTCTTTTCTCAATCTTGTAAGATAGTGCCACCTAGCTGTAAATTCTACAGACAAATCTGAGTCTTCAAATGGTCATTCTACCATTCTATCAAAAAAGCTGCTTTAGGATGGTGAATTCCATGAGCATGATCCCATTGTCCCATTTCTTTGGCTGTGAAGTGAATTTCTTGTTCAGACACAATGTTATGTGGAAAACCATGATGATAGATAGATAAGGTATTCTGAAAGTTCACAAATTCAGTTATGGAAGAAATGTCGCATGCAGAGAACCTGTATCCAGAGTAAGAGTCTATTCCTGTAAAAAACAAAATTCTGCTCTTTCTATGAAAGATATGGCCCAATATAAGCAACCTGCCAGAAGGTGACTGGTTGATCATCCTGGGAGATGGTACTATATTGAGGACTCAGTGTTGGTCTTTACTACTGGCACACTGGGCACTTACTAGAGTCCCTTTTGTCATTTTTTTCTTTTATTTGGGGAATGCACACTTCATGAATTTAATATACGCAAATTTGTGGACACTGTGATTCCTTCTCTAGGCTTCCCTCCTGCCCATGCTTAAACCCTTCTTCCTCCCCACTCTCCCACTCCCATTCTTATTTTTAACAAATCTGTTTTCAGTCAATTTTATACTCACGAGGTTAACCCTACATGAAATAGAGAGTTCACTGAATACTATGAAGAAAACAGAAAAATCAACAAAAACAAAAACAAAAAAATTGTTCCTCAACAGTCAAGATAAGGGCTGTTCAAAATCATCACATCTCAAGGTGTCAGTGTCACCTTTTAGGTACTCTATTAATTACCACAGATCAGAGAGACTATATGGTATTTATCTTTTTGTGACTGGTTTATTTCACTAAGTATAATGGATTCCAGTTGCATCCAATTTGATGCAAATGACAGCATTTCATTTTTTTCTTACCACTGTGTAGTATTCCATAGTCTGTGTGTGTGTTATGTGTGTGTGTGTGTTCAAATAATTTCTTTATTCAGTATTCACTTATGTTGATGGACATCTGGGTTGATTTCATATCTTAGCTATTGTAAACTGAGTTACAATGAACATGGGGGTACAGATCCTCTTTCATATACTGATTTCGTTAACCTTGGGTAAATTCCTAGGAGTGGGATGGCTGGGTCATATGATAGGTCTATATTCAGATTTCTTTTTTAAGATTTAGTTATTTATTTGAAAGTCAGAGTTACACAGAGAGAAGGAGATGCAGAGAGAGGGGTCTTCCATCCACTGGTTCAATCCCGAATTGGCTGCAACGGCCAGAGCTGCACCGATCCAAAGCCAGGAGCCAGGAGTTTCTTCTGGGTCTCCCATGAGAGTGCAGGGGCCCAAGGACTTGGGCCATCTTCTACTGCTTTCCCAGGCCATAGCAGAGAGCTGTATTGGAAGTGGAGCAGCCGGGACTTGAACCGGCACCCCTATGGGATGACAGCATAATCGGCAGCAGCTTTAGCCTCTACACCAAAGCACTGGACCCTCAGATTTCGGGGGTATCTCCATACTGTCTTTCATAGTGGCTTTATCAGTGTACATTCCCACCAATAGTGGATTAAGGAACCTTTCCCCCTACATCCTTCCCAGCATTTGTTGTTTATTGATTTCTGTAAGGAAGCCATTCTAATGGGAGTGAGGTGAAACCTCACTGTGGTTTTGATTTGCATTTCCTGACGCTAGCCATCCTAAGCACTTTTTTCATGTGTCTGTTGGCCTTTTGAATTTCCCTCTTGAAAAATTTCTGTTCAGGTCCTTTGCCCATTTCTTAACTGGGTTGTTTGTTTTGTTGTTGTTGGGCTTCTTGACCTCTTCATAGATTCTGGAAATCAATACTTTATCAGTTGCATAGTTTGCAAATATTTTCTCCCATTCTATCTGTTGCCTCTCCACTTTGCTGATAATTTTTTTTTTTGCCATGCAGAAGCTTCTCAGTTTGATGTAATCCCATTTATTAATTTTGGCTTTGATTGCCTGTTCTTCTGGGGGTATTTTCCAAGATGTCTTTTCCTGTGCCAATATCTTGTAGGGCTTCTCCAATACTCTCTAGTAATTTGAAGGATATTAGGTCATAATTCCAGGTCTCTGATGCATTTTGAGTGAATTTTTGTCTAAGGTGTAAGTTAGGGGTCTTGTTCCATACTTCTGCATACAGCTATCCAGTTTTCCCAGAACAATTTGTTCAAGAAAGTGCTTTTTGCTCCGAGGATTAATTTTTCCTTTTTCATCAAAGAAAAGTGTAGATGTATGGATTGATTTCTGGAGTTTCTATTCTATTCCATTTGTCTACACATCTGTTTTTGTGCCAGTACCAGACTGTTTATTTTTATTAAGATTTATTTATTTTACTTGAAAGTCAGAGTTACACAATGAGAGGAGAGGCAGAGAGAGAGAGAGAGAGATAGAGAGAGAGAGAGAGATCTTCCATCCGCTGGTTCACTCCCAAGGTGGCTGCAACAGCTGGAGCTGCACTGATCCAAAGCTTCTTCTGGGTCTCCCACATGGGTGCAGGGGCCCAAGGACTTGGGCCATCTTCTACTACTTTCCCAGGCCACAGCAGAGAGCTGGATTGGAAGTGGAGCAGCCGGGTCTCGAACCGGCATCCATATGGGATGTTGGCACTGCAGGCAGCGGCATTAACTGCTACACCACAGCGCCGGCCCCAATACCAGGCTGTTTTAATTATAACTGCCCAGTAGTATGTCTTGAGATCTGGTATTGTAATGTCTCCAGTTTTTTTCTTTCTTCTTCTTCTTCTTCTTCTTTTTTTTTTTTTTTTTTTTGTCTTAAGATTGCTTTAACTATTCGGGATCTCTTGTGTTTACATATAAATTTTAGCATCATTATTTCTAGATCTGTGAAGAATGTTGTTGATTTTTTATTTCGATCACATGAATCTATAAATCACTTTTGGAAGTATGAACACTTCAATGATGTTGATTCTTCCAATCCATGAACATCAAAGACTTTTCAAACTCTTTTTTCTCTTCTTCTATTTCTTTCTTTAAAGCTTTGTAATTTTTATCATAGAGATCTTTGACCTCGTTGGTTAAATTTATTACAAGGGATTAATTCTTTCTGGAGCTATTCTGTATGGGATTGATCATAGAAGTTCTTTCTCAACTATGGCATTGTCCATGTATACAAAGGGTATTTGGGCCAGTGCCATGGTATAGCAGGTAAAGCTCCCGCTTACAGTGCCAGCATCCTATTTGGGTGCCAGTTTGAGCCCCAGCTAATCCACTTCCAATCCAGCTCTCTGCCATGGCCTGGGAAAGCAGTAGAAGGTAGCCCAAGTCCTTCAGTCTCTGCACCCACATGAGAGACCCAGAAGTCCAGGCTCCTGGTTTCAGATTGGCACAGCTGTGGCCATTGTGACCATTTGGGGAGTGAACTCATGGATGGAAGTCCTCTCTCTCTCTCTCGCTCTTTCTCTCTGCTTCTGCCTCTCTGTAACTCTGCCTTTCAAATAAGGAAATAAATCTTTTTAAAAAGGCTATTGATTTTTGTGTGTTAATTTTGTATCCTGCTGCTTTACCAAACTCTTCTATGAATTCCAGATAGTGTCTTGGAGGAGCCTTTTGAATCCCCTGTGTATAGAATCAGGTCATCAAAGGGATAGTTTGATTTCCTCCTTTCCCATTTGTGTCCCTTTTATTTCTTTTTCTTGCTTAATGATTCTGGCTAAAATTTCCAAGACTGTATTGAATAGCAATGGTGAGAGTGTTTATACTTGTCTGGTTCCAGATCTTAGTAGGAATGCCTCCAGTTTTTCCCCATTCAGTAAGATTCTGGCTGTGGGTTTGTCATAAATGGCCTTGATTGTGTTGAGGAATGTTCCTTCTATACACAATTTGCTTGAAGTTTTCATCATAAATGGATACTGAATTTCATCAAATGCTTTCTCTTCATCTATTGATAAAATCATGATTTTTGTTCTTCAGTTTGTTAATGTGATGTATCACATTTATTGATTTTTGGATGTTGAACCATCCCTGCATACCAGGGATAAATCCCACTTGGTCTGGGTGAATGATATTTTTGATGTGTTGTTAGATTCAATTGACTAGTATTTTGTTGAGGATTTTTGCACCTATGTTCAACAGGCAAATTGGTCTATAACTCTCTTTGTTGTTTTGTTCCTTTGCTATGTAGTCCAGCAACATTAGGGACAAACAACCACCTTAATATATTTGAGTATTTCAAAATGAACTGAATATTTAATAGATGTTCAAAAGTTTCAAACATACAGTTATCCAGATCTTTGCCAATATTTTGTTATTTTTAAATTTCAGATTAACATTAAATACTTATACATTTTTAGTACATGTAGCTTTTTGACACACTGCTTAAACTGACCATACCAGGAAACCCGTCTTTCCATTTCTTTATCCATTTCTTGCATGTGGGTGTGTGCATGTGAGTGTGTATGTGCATGAGTGTTTGGAGCCTACAAATTCTTCTCTTCTAGTTATAACAAACTGATTACATTTCAATACAGGTACTTCATGTATCTCTATATAACGGTTCATGACATGGACTATCAATGGTCTCTCTACTACTAGAAATAGAAAATAGCCTATTTAACTTCTTCATATTAGACACAGAATATCGTAAGTCCAAGAACTAATTCAAAAAACTCATCCTTAAGATTTTGTTCCTATAAAACCACTCTCAGTACAAAATCTGTATTAGTTATGGTTCTCTAAACAGAACCAATAGAAAAGTGATCATTGGGTGGGTAGGTAGGAAGGAAAGAAAGAAAGGGAAAGAGAGATAGAAAGAAAATCTCCTACATGGTACCAAATCACCCTTGGAACCAAAATCTGTGTTAGGGTTCTCCAAAGAAACAGAGAAAAGAGATTTCT